TGGCCTGTGAGTACTCGAATTAGCATGCTGCACTCAGTGCGGCTGAAATTGAGTAGTTCTGATGTTTTCTTATTGTTTATTACAGGCCATGTCTGGTGAGAGATTCGGCATTGCGGTGTGTTTTGCCAATAAGTGTTGGCTAATTTGCTGAAGTGGTTTTTAATAATTAGCTTACAAGTAGCCATCGGCATGCCGACATTCTCCTTTCCTGGAAGGAGAGGTATGGTGGTGCCTTGCCTGGCTAGCTCGTCTGCTATGCAGTTGCCTACGATATCCCGGTGACCCGGAACCCATATAAGGCTGACAGTAAACTGATTAGCCATCTCGTGGAGAGATTTGCGACAGTCTGCTATTGTTCGGGAGTTTGTGTTTGTCCAGTAGATTGATTTAATAGCCGCTTGGCTATCACTATATATGTTTATGTGTCTGTTCTGGGTGTTTAGCTCCCTTAAACAGACAAGTGCTTCCATTATAGCGTACACTTCCGCTTGGAAGACACTGCAGTGGTCAGGAAGTCTGAAAGACCGCCTGATCTCTAATTGCTCGGAGTATATACCTCCACCTACGTGTCCGTCTAGTTTGGAGCCGTCTGTATATAGACAGATTGCGTCTATTGAGCCCGGTCGGCCACGATCCCAAACTTCCCTGCCTGGGATCAGAGCTTCGAAGGGCGTGTGATTGTATTCACGGGTTTTACATAGATCCGTTTTTGGCGGGATCAATTTGTCATGCTGAAGAATCTTAGCGTGACCATACAGTTGGGCTTTCCATTGCCCTGTATCCCTTAGTCGAATGGCTGCCGATTTCGCCCTTTCCATTCCTGCTAAGTCCAGGCTCTGGAGGTTCAAGATCGCATTCAGCGCTTCGTTTGGGGTAGTTCGAAGGGCTCCACTCATACACAAGGCCGCCATGCGCTGTACTTTTGTTAAGTGGAGTTAAGATACATTGTTTGTGTAAAGCGGTCCACCACAGAGCCACTCCATATAGTAGGATTGGCTTGACTACCGCTATGTATATCCAGTTGACTATTTTAGGAGACATACCCCATCTTAGCCCAATTGCTTTTTTACAAGAGTAAAGTGCAATGGTCGCTTTCTTGGTTCTCTCTTGGTTGTTTAGTCCCCATTTAAGACGCTTATCTAATACTAACCCCAAGTATCTTGCGTGCTCACTAAAAGAGAGATTACAGTTGTTTAAAGTGGGTGGGTTAAGTTTAGGGATTTTGTATCTATTTGTAAAAAGGACTAGTTCCGTTTTTAAGGGGTTTACCCCAAGTCCGTTCTTTGTAGTCCATTCCGATAGTGTTTTTAGTTTTGCGGTCATAAGATCGCATAACGTTTGTGGGTATCTACCATTAAAGATGATAGCGACATCGTCTGCGTATGCCACTATTTTACATCCTCCTCCTTCAAGAATCCGCAGTAGTTTATTTACCGCGATATTCCATAAAAGGGGTGATAGTACACCTCCTTGCGGAGTGCCTCTGTTCACTAATCTAGTCTGGGTCGAGGTCCCTAGTGTGGCCGTGACCAATCTGCTTATCAGCAATTTGTGGATCAGCCCCACCAGCGGTGGCTCAACCCCTAGTTCAGTGAGGGATTCTGTTATTGCCGTGGGGAGCACGTTGTTGAACGCTCCTTCTATGTCAAGGAAGGCGATCAAGGTGTATTCTTGTATACTGAGTGATTTCTCGATGTTGCTTACTACCAAGTGTAGCGCCGATTCGGTCGACTTACCTTTGGTGTATGCGTGTTGCGCCTCTGATATCTGCGTCGGGTCAATGATGTCTCTAATATGTAGACCTAACAGTCTTTCTAAGATTTTTAGCAGGAATGATGTCAGACTTATCGGTCTGAAATCCTTCGCTGTAGTATGGGTGGCTTTCCCTGCCTTAGGGATGAAAACGACTTTCGTTTCCCGCCATGCTGTAGGTAGTTCACCTACTGCAAGAATGGTCTGGAATATTTTTCTCAGCCAGTTTATAGCTAGTTCTCCTGCTTGTTGAATATGTGCCGGTGTTATATTATCCGGTCCCGGCGATTTGTATGGCTTAAAACTATGAATGGACCAGTTTATATTACGGTCTGATAGTAGGAGATTTAAGTTTATTCCTTCTCCGGTGTGTCTTCCTGGGGGGATGTCCTGATTGTAGGCTCCCTGGGAAGTGAGCGTCTAGGAGTAGGTTTAGGGATTCTTCACTAGAATCCGACCATGATCCGTCAGCCTTTTGGAGATAGCCTAGGGATACGGCTGTCTTAGAAAGTATTTTTCTGAGCCTTGCGGCATCAGTTGTCTTTTCAATGTCCGAGCAGAAGTTCTGCCACGCAGTTCTCTTCTCTTTTCTAATGGCCTTTTTGTATGTGGCTAGTTCCTTTTTGTAGCTTTGCCAGTTTATGTCCTCATTTGCAGCTTTCGCTCTGTTGAACAAGTTTCTGCATTTGGCTCTGAGGATTGATAATTGCTGGGTCCACCAAGGAGGTTTTTTCCTTCCCCTTGGTTTCCCTAACGGGCATGCAGCTGAGAATGCCGCGTTGCATGCTTCTGTGAATTTGTTTACTATATTATCTAGCTCCTGAGTGCAAGGAGTGCTTTCTGGTGGCTTCCTGGGGAGGAAGTTCGATAGAATTTCTTTGTATTTATTCCAGTTTGCCCGCCTGGGGTTGGCAAAGCTGACCGGCACAGGTGATATTAGGGACAAAGTTGTCTCTATAAACCTATGATCTGAAAATGAGTGCTCATTGGAGACAGCCCAGTTTGTGACTGTGTTTATGAGTGAATCTGATGCCAGGGTTAGATCTATGATCGTTTGGCACGTTTTTGTTATAAAAGTAGGGGTATTGCCCCTATTGCAAAGAAATAAATTCGATTTAAGAATGAAGTCGAATAAAGACTCACCTCTGTCGTTGTTGATAGGGCAGCCCCACTGAGTATGGTGGGCATTTGCGTCGCATCCTATCACCAAACCTTTCTTAAGCTCTTCACATTCCTGTACCAGTCCTCTGACTAGCGCGTCTGGGGGTCTACCTTTTCGGAAGCCATGTAGGCCGATAGCATCCTAAAAGAGCCGCTTTGCAGCTCCAGGCTTATTGCTGTGTTGTCTCCGTTGCTGTATTTGTGAAGCAGAAATGTACTAAGATGCCGTTTGGCTAAAATGCAGGTTCGAATTTTACCTTGTTTGGGGTCAAGCATAAGCTTGTAGTCTTTTGTTCCCAGTCCAGCAACCCTGCCTCCTGCCACCCAGGGTTCCTGAACTAAGACCACGTCGGCTTCGCCTTTGGCCAGGCGAAGAGCAGCGGACGCTGCTTTACTGTGATGTAGGTTGATCTGCAGGAGTCTTAGCGACATCCCCAGCTGCAACCTCCACCACAGTAACGTCGGCCTCCGAATCGCTCAGGTCCACTTCGTCGATTGCCGGTCCCATCGCTCGCATCTCTGCTTAGCGACGAGTCGGTTGAATAGCCGTCCTCCGGCACACCGCGGGGTTGGGTGGGCCGGAAGATAGGCAGCGGCCCACCCAACCCCGCGGCGTGGTGCCGAGGACGATGGAGCTCGCTCGGAGCCCGAGCCAATAGTCACCTCGGATGAGAGTGATATGGAGTGGGCCGAGGACCCGGTCAAGGAGAGGCGGGAGTGGCGCCTAAAGAGGGCCAGGGATCCGGAGGTCGACGCAATCCCGCCGGGACCCACCCGAACATTTAAGGGTGCGGCGAACAGGCCAAGGGGCAGCGGAAGCACCTCGGTGAAGATGGCTGAGGCGAGAGCCAAGATGCTAAGGGACGAGGTCGAGCGGATGCGGACAATGAGGGCCCCGTACGGACGGCGCAGCGGGAATGGGAGCGGTTGAAGCAAGCCGCCGACGAAGTCATCGTGGCATATCGCCTCAAGCGAAGAGAGGAGAAGGCCCGGAAGGAAGCGGAAGTCGAGGAGGCCAAGAGAAAGGCGGAGAAGGAAAAGCGTTACTGGGACACCGAATGGCAACAACGGCTGCAGAAGTGGGAGGAGGAGGAGTGCCAGTTGTGGTCGAGTGAGGTCCTGGTGGAAGCAGTGCCCCTAATCCCAGGAGGGATGCAAGGAATTCCCCCGACTCCCCGATCCGGCGACAACGAAGGTGCCAGTCATGGATCCGAGGCCCCAAGCCAGTGCGTCCAATCGGATGGATGGGTTCACCACCAATGCCCAACCCCCATCCCCAAGATTGGCACGAGCCACCTCCGACCCCCCGCCCGCAAGAGTGGCCGGAGGATGACGACCGGGATCCCGCTCCCAGCCCCCGCCACGTCATCAGGAGGCGGAGTCCCCACGCCCACCGAAGTGGATCCCGGCCCGACCGCCCGCGCCCCGGTATGGCCAGGAGGTCCGAGGGGAGGAGCCAGAGGACAACAACCGGAATTCCGCTTCCAGCGTTTGTGGCCGGCGGAGTCCAGTGGCGGCAGCACATCGTGCCGTGGACCTGGCCCGTCGGCGACGAAGCAAAGGCCACTGAGGAAGCGGAGATCCCAGCGCAGGACCCACCAAAATCGAATCCGCGGGACCCAAGGGTGCGCCGCGAAGACGCCGGGTGGTTGCCGCCGACACCGGAGACTGGAGATGTCCTGGAGAAGGGGCCATGGGTGTGGCCACCTGTGGGCAACCAGAGGCCCAAACTCCAGCGGCAGGTCTCTGCCCCGGGGGCACGCGGCCCAGTGGCCACTGGTGCGAATGGCGTCCCGGACGGAGGGCGGATCCTGGCAGGACATCGCCGAGGAGGAGTGGCCAGCTGGCCTATTAGAGCAGCCGGTCATAAAGAATGCCATTCGACGAGGAGGCCGATGCTGCGTGCTGGCAGAGGTAGGCTGGAGGAAATATCGCATCCGTTTGGCGGCCTCTGGCCAAGTGAGTGTTCGCCGATTTAATTGCTAGCCGTAGAAAAAAATAAAAATAAAAATCTAAAAAAAAAACCCTATCACACACGTAAACACTGACACTGGGACTTAAAACGCGGACAGAACTAGCACAAACACTTAAAATGATAACACCATAAAAAGCTGGGGAGTTTATTTGGCTGCTTTTCCATCTGAAAAACAAAAGCCAATCAGTTGAATGACAAAAACAAAATCGAAGGCACAAACTCACATGTACATTAAAGAATGGTGGAGAGGGGTAGCTGCTGAAACGCGGTTGGGATCGTGGCGGCAGTCAATCTATGTCCCAGGTCATCTTCTTCTTATCTCCTTGGAAAAGCCGTTCATCTGAAAACAAAAAGAAAGGCAAATCAGTTGAGCAACAAAAAAAATACACTCACGTGTACTTTGAAATGATGGGGAGGAGTAGCTGCTGAAACGCGGGGGGGAGACGATCGTGGCGGCAGTCAAACCGTTTTACCCTTTTTCCTCTCTCTTTCCATTTTCGCTCGTAGGCGAGGGCCACAGTCCAAGGGTAAGCCAAGGGAAAGGGGGGGTTTAAAGAGAAAGCAGGATAAGAGAAAGGGGAATTGGGAAATTAAAGAGAAAACTTACCAGCAGAAAAAATTCTCCGCGTCACCATGTGCTTAGGGAAGGGGGCGCCAGCGATATTTGGCGGTCGATTGGCACTATCTTATAACAGCAGATCGATGGGCACGAGACATTGGAATTATCGGCATATGAGAGTCACACTAATAAACATCGCGATGATGAGGTGGCAACGCCACCCCAAGGTAATATCGATATGCAAGTCGTGTTATCGATCGCAATGGATTAGTGTGACCAAGACGAACGACAGGAGACCGCGAACTAGGTTGGAGCGGGATATTTAAAAATTTCAACGGCAACATCGGGATTTAAGGAAGCATACATCGACGAGGGAAGCTTCGTGGGAGAAAGTCAAGGAAATCGGATCGGCGCAGTATAACTCAACAAGGAGCTGTGGGCGTCGATGGAAGGATCAAGAAGACTCAAAGGCAATAAGGATACACAGGATAAAAGCCGGAGAGGAGGATCGAGCTTACTTTCGTTATCCGAAGAAAGGGGGGGATGTGAGGAGTTTAATAACTCCACACAAAATATCCCAAAAATAACTACATGGAGAACCTGCCAGTTGCTACTTACGCAACTACTTTGGGTAGTAACGGCAACGGAGGAAAAGAGAGTTAGGAAAAAGAAATAGAAGAAGGGGGGGAAGAAGAAGGAGGAGGGGAGGAGGAAAGAAAGAAAAAAAAAAAAAAAAAAAAAAAATAAAGAGAGGGGGAGGGGGGGAGGGGGGAGGGGGAGAGGGGGGGGAAGCGAGACGGCGCCAGAGCGAGAGTCCAGAGAGCGCAGGCGTGCCGTGAGCAAGGAAGGAACGGTACAGCGCTGCACTTTGGACTTTAGTGGGTGCGTGCCGTGTGCAGAGGGCGAGAGACAAAAAACAAAAAAAATGTATTTTTGAGTTTGGAGGGGAAAAAAAAAAAGAGGAAGAAAAAAAGAGAAAAATGAGAGGGCGAAAGGTCAACGGTAAAACCGTGGATTTGGACCTTGGAGAAGAAAGAAAAAGAGAAGGAAAAAAGAAAAGAAAAGGGCTGGAATCAGGACCAGTCATCGAGCATCAAACCGCGAGTGACCAACGTCTAGTAAAAGTCAAAGTTGTGAGGAACCGTAGAACGGCCCTCACAAATATACTTTGTAGCCATGTAGGAATTTGTAGCCATGTAGAATTTTTGTAGCCATGTAAGATTTTTGTAGCCATGTAGGATTTTGTAGCCATGTAGGAATATTTTTAGTTTAGCTTTTTAATAGCCAACGCAGCAGTTGCACACAGTTGAACCATCGAACGCCTGAGCGCGACCAACGCGCTCTCGCCCTCTTCTTCACACACTTCAAAACATCAGCGGCTGCACACAGTTGAACCACCGAACGCCTGAGCGCGACCAACGCGCTCTCGCTCTCTTCTTCACACACTTCAAAACATCAGCGGCTGCACACAATTGAACCATCGAACGCCTGAGCGCGACCAACGCGCTCTCGCTCTCTTCTACACACACCTCGAACGTCAGCAGCTACACACATTGGAACCATCGAACGCCTGAGCGCAACCAACACACTCTCGCCCGCTTCGAACAGTTTGAACACCTGCACAAAGCCAACACACACATAAGCTTTTCGTCGCACGATCGAACCAAATCGCAACCAACCCGACCGATGTTTTCGAGCAAGGGGAAACAATTTCGCACGATCGAACCAAATCGCAACCAACCCGACCGATGTTTTCGAGCAAGGGGAAACAATTTCGCACGATCGAACCAAATTGCAACCGACCCGACCGATGTTTTCGAGCAAAGGGGAAATAATTTTGCCTGCAAACTGCCGAAGCGCAAGCGCAGCGGCAGCGACGCCGACGCAATGCATGGGGAACGCGCGCCAATATCAAAGAGGGGAAATGCAATTACTCTTGAGGCTTCGCGCGTGCCAGACGAGAGATCGAGACGTGACAAACCCGGGAAAACGACCCCACTGTGAAAAGTTTTTCGGACGAGTGCAACAAAAATTGAAGAAAATGGAAAACGAGTGCGGTGATGTGGATGGAGTGCGCGACGCTATTCCCGCTGCGGAGGCATGGGAAATCAACTGGCTGGACCTGCTGTGGACGGAAACGTAAGCGTCAAATATATATTTTTTTCGGATATATTTTGTTTTAAAAATAACCTGAACTGGACTGGAGTTTTGTGACAAGGAGGCTCTGTACACCCCTTGCACAAAACTTAAATAAAGCAAACGAAGTATTTAAAACTAAAGAAAACTATTTGTCTGACCGTGTTTTGTGTGTGAGTGAACATAGGAGGGGAATGGGAACAGTTTTTCTCTTGCCACCACCTAGGAAAACCCATGTTTCTCTGCCGATCGTTGCCGGACCGCGTGGTGGCCAAGGATTACGACGGAGTCTTGCACTCGCTTGTCGGATCCGAGGCTGTTGCCGGTCCCGGAGCGCGTAGTGGCCGTGGATTACGACGGAGCTAGGCTCGGTTGTCGGGTCCAGGGTCAGTGCGGGCTCCGGAACGTGCGGCTGAGAGAGATTTCGACGGAGTCTTGTACTCGATTTTCGGATCTAACTCCGCTGCAGGTTTCGGCCCATGGTCGGCATCTCTGGGTGACAATGCCCACAAACCCCTTCCTTTCCTTTTGTTGTTGTCTCTGCCGATCGTGGTCGGACCGCGTGGTGGCCAAGGATTACGACGGAGTCTTGTACTCGTTTGTCGGATCCGAGGCCGTTGCCGGTCCCGGAGCGCGTAACGGCCGTGGATTACGACGGAGCTAGGCTCGTTTGTCGGGTCCAGGGTCAGTGCGGGTTCCGGAGCGTGTGGCTGAGGGAGATTTCGACGGAGCTTTGCACTCGATCGTCGGATCTAACTCCGTTGCCGATTTCGGCCCATGGTCGGCATCTCTGGGTGACAGTGCCCACAAGACCCCCTTCCTCTTTTTTTTTGTGTCTGGTTCTGTTGATCGTGGCCGGACCGCGGGTTGGCCAAGGATTACGACGGAGCTAGCCTCGTTTGTCGGATCCAAGGATCATTGCGGGTTCCGAGGCGCGTGGCGGGTAGGGATTACGACGGAGCTCTGCTCGATTGTCGGATCCAAACCCGCTGTGAGTTCCGGCCACGAAGTCTGAATAGGGTCATTCTTATCTCGCCCCCCTTGAGTCCTTGAACTGAAATAAATATTTGTAAGTGACCCTGGGAGCCCTGAGCACAATATCCCAGCCCAAGAACTTCCTTACATGGCGCCCGAACAGGGACTTCAAGGATTACGGGAAATTTTTAAATATTTTTTCCGCAAAAAAAAAAATATATATAAATTTTTTCTCAAGAAAATAAAAATTTTTTTTTGGGGGTACATGGCGTAAAGACCCATGAGATAGACACCCAGACCCTAAGATCAGACCAATTTTTTTTTCTCTTACACACACACACACAGCATTTTCCTTACATTTTCCCTCTACGAAACCGCGTGGTGGCCCAGGATTACGACGGAGTCTCGCACTCGTTTGTCGGATCCGAAGCCATTGCCGGCCCCGGAGCACGTAGCGGCCGCGGATTACGACGGAGCTAAGCTCGATTGTCGGGTCCCGGAGCACGCTGGAATTTTTTTTCCTGGGGAAAACGGGAAGGGAACATTTAAATCGGTGTGGTTGAAAAAAAAAAATTTTTTTCTCTCCTCTCTCGCTTCCCACGTTGTCCCGAACGCGGTGGACACGTGGCCGGCGACTATAAGAGGAGCACACCGGGCTACCAGAAGGCAGTCAAGCTCCGGCCCTCAAGCGGGGAACATCGTCGCGAACAACAGACTCCTATAAACATTCGGCATCCTAGCCCGAATTCTAGCACCGTGCGCAACCAAAGGACCCCGAGTCCTGTGAACATTCGGCATCCTAGCCCGAATCCTAGCACCGTGCGCAACCAAAGGACCCCGAGTCCTGTGAACATTCGGCATCCTAGCCCGAATCCTAGCACCGCGCCTCAACCAAAGGACCCCGAGTCCTATAAATATTCGGCATCCTAGCCCGAATCCTAGCACCGCGCGCTCAACCAAAGGACCCCGAGTCCTGTGAACATTCGGCATCCTAGCCCGAATCCTAGCACCGCGCGCATCAACCAAAGGACCCCGAGTCCTATAAATATTCGGTATCCTAGCCCGAATCCTAGCACCGTGCCCAAAAAGGACCCCCGAGTCCTATAAATATTTCGGTACCCGCGTACACAATCAAACGGTACGAAATTTTTTTTTATAAATTTTCCCCCCCTCCGCTCTCTGTCGCTTGGAAACCATGGGCGTAAGATGGATCTCGTATCGCCGCAAGGAGGAACTCCAACTCCTCTTAGCCGAGTTCGGGTTACCCCAAGGGGGAACCGTCGAAGAACTGCGCAGTCGGCTAGCGACTTTTCTCACCCGGGAGGATCTAGAGCCGGAACTCTTGGACCGAGCCAGAGAATTGGCTAGTATGTTCCCAGAGGCAGCCACCCCCAGGGATAAGTCCCCGACCCCTCTGGGAGGACAAGAACCTCGGGAACAGAAGCTAAGCACAGCAGTCGTCGACACCGGGAGCACCCCCCTAAGACTGGAAGTACCACCAGGCAACCGACCAACAAGGAACACAAACACGGACCCACCTGCACGCGAGGAAATATCCTCCGCCACCTTGGCAGAAAAACTGCGGAGCTGGGGCATCTTATTTGACGGACAGTCCGACCCGCTCACATTTATCGAACGCCTGGAAGTACAAGCCGAAGCATACCGGCTCAGGACCGCACGACTCCCCAGAGTAATCTCCGGATTGCTTACGGGAAAAGCGGAAAGTTGGTACCGCACATTCCAAATGCAGGACGTGTCGTGGGAAATTTTCAGGAAGGAATTTCTTGAATTCTTCCTCCCACCACAATACTTCCAACGATTGGAAGACACGATCCGGACGAGATACCAGCAACCGGGCGAGAGCTGCAAGGAATATGTAGTGGAGCTCCGACTCCTGATGCAGCGGGCAAAATTTACTCCGGCGCAGGAACTGGAGCGACTCTACCAGAACCTTCGACCGGAATACCAGCTATTTGTGAGGCGCCAAGAC